CTTCTGGCGCTGACACCGGTCCACCTACGTTCTCGTCAGGCTCTACCTCGGTGGCCGCTGGCAGTGCGATGATTATGACTGCCATAATTGTCACTTATTTCCTATGAGTGCATGGAGCTCTGGACTTGCAATGGCATCAAGTGAGTTAAAGTGGTAAATGAACAGCACCTCGCCCTGAATCCCGCCTGCATACCCAAATGGGTCGTGGATGTCCCTTCGAAACGAGGATTGGCCTTTAAGGTGAATGTAAAGATGTAAAAACTTTTTCGCTCTTCTCTGTTAACTGTAATCGTTTCCAAATGCACGCAAATTCATTTTCAATATCTACAGCTGATGAAACACGACTCCACGCTCGTTGCAACCACACCGCCTGTTCAATGCGACGAATGTAGGCTTTTCGTCTAGAACGTGAAGACACGGCTCATACAAGCACATCACTTCCTTGGTGGAGACGGTTCAGATAAGAGTAGGCGCGCGTGATAGATCCACTTCGACATTTGACAATTACGGTGTCATTCGTGTTATCGGTTTCTGCATGTGAAATTAGCGCCGCAGGTGTTGCTTGCAGCAAGACTGCACTCAAGCGGACAAATGGCCTGCGATGTACGTGCTCAAGGTTTTTCTTATAGCTTGCGACGAGTAGCCTGGGACAGAGCGCAGCACACGAACGGCTCATCCACTAAACAAAAGAACATCACCCTATCTGCATTTAATTGGTAGGAAGGTGCGTGTCGCATCGCTTGACCGGCAAACAATGGCCACACATATGTTCGGCTCTACTGGGGATGTAAGACCCCGTCTGCATCCCCATCTTCAGAGCTCACAGAAGTACCATTTGCTTCCGCATCCTTGCTGCGCTTTTGATACCTCCGAACGACCTGTGCCGCCTTTTTGTGTTCGCTGGCGTCGGCCGTACGTCGGTCGCACACAAGGAAAAAGACCACTGGATTTTTCAAGACCCTGGACCGGCACAGCATCTTGGGGTTCAGCCTCATGACAGCTACTATTTTCTCCCATGCACCAGAAAAAAATGCACATTAATTGCTGCTTGACACTCTCCACGCTCAAAATGTGACAACCACAGCACTGACGATACTCGTAGCAAGACTGCACTATGGCCTGCGATGTACGTACGTGCTTATGGTTTTTCATACAGCTTGCGACGAATGGCCTGGGACAGAGCGCAGCTCACGAACGGCTCATCCACTAGACAAACTAAAAACTACACGTCTAATGCTTTGGGTTGACAAAGACTGGATGTCCTTACGGTTGACCGACTTATGTGGGCACACAGACAGTGCCCACGGAAATGATGAGAAAACGTGCCATTTTAATACTTGGGAACCGTTGATCACCCCTCAGTTTTTCTGGCAAAATCTCTTCAGTTCAGTATAATGCTACATGAGTGTCTCGTTATGAGTCACGAGTAGATCAAATGATATCACGATCAGTAGGATTTTTAGGGTCATTTTGTGTCTCAATCAAATACAGTTGAACATTTTTTCGCGCAAAAATGTCGTGTGGTGGATGTCCTCGCCGGCGTTCCAGTCAGAGTAAGCGATGTCCTCAAAGTGTAAAATTTCGAAATCAGCACCATCATAGGTCAAAGGTTCTAAAACAGCACCATCATAGGTCAAAGGTTCCAAAACTGCACCGGCTAATAAACAATTTAGTACTGATTACACTACTTGGTGCATCAAACATAAGAACATTATATTGCTATACGCGTCACGAATTTAAGTGCTTAACAACAGCAGGATTCATCAAGATGTCACACGAAAGGGTGGCGATTGATTTAGGTGCGAGTTATGGAGCCACTAAATTAGCCCATGGACAAATTTTCTAGTCCGGTGCTGCTGCAACCAGGTTTTTGAAAGACTACTGTATCGATCACAATCGGCAGTACAGGGTTAAAAAAAGGTGGCTATATCAAGATGAATGTGTGCCCACAGGATCGATGCCCATGGGAGGTTCCTTTGACGAAGATGAAGCGGATGGGTGCAGCTTTAGAGCACTACATTTACACCTTAAATGATATTTACGCCGGCGTGTGCCTGGCAATCGCCAAGCCATCTTCGCTCGACAAATTTAAATTCTGCCGACATTTAAGGCCGCCGTACAAGGTTAAAAAGGCATCAAGCGAAAAACGCTTGTGGCTCTCTTTCAGGCTCGTGACAGCAATAATCGGCAGCACTCTCGAAATAAAGTATACAGAGCCAAGGAAGCCGTTATCGAAGAAATTGATGGAGAGTGGCAATCATTATTTTCACTCCTTGCACCGCACCTGATTGTGTTGATGCGCGCTAACCCAGGAAACAGTGGTGCACTCGACGTTGACCAGGAATGTCCCTTTGCTTTTTCGTGGCTGTCGGTGTAACGGTGCACCCTTTGTCTGGGTGCCACGAAACTTCACGTGCACTAGTACGTGCAGAGGAAGCTGATCTACTTAAACGACTCGTTTAAGTAAAGGTAAAACGAGAACTGAATTTAGCTATCAATACAACTTTAATCTTTATCTAACTAGATTAAACTACGTCGTCGTATGACGACAAGCTGCTCACCACTCATTGCGCACGTCTAGAAGCGATTGGTGGCAATCTATGGTTGATATGTCTTATGTTAACCAATCTTGGAACAGCGCATGAATATTATCCAAAAGGGATAGTATTCCTTCAATACCATCTATCTCGGATAATATTGGTAAAATATTGTCATGCTAGACAATATTTCTATTAAAACCGTTTGGTGTCCATATCATGTAATGGGCTACCCCGTTACACCAACCCCCCTCCACTAACCATCAATCGCCCATTGATTGAATTAGAATTGATTGGGACAGGGTGACCACCGTTGGATCACTCTGTGAAAGGGATCACTTGTTGGTCAAATCTCATTCATTTGCCAATCCAACGCATGGTGTCAAAGTCCATGCGATGTGCTGCCGAAGCAGCAAGTAGGGCGGCGGCTGCACGAATGCGTGCAGCCGCGAAAAGTGCCTCTCACACCTCAGCAGCAGGTGATTCGTCACCTATTGTTGTGAATCGTCCACGTGGTGAGTCACCCCGTGCGACAGGTACATCTGCTGCGTCTGCAGCGGGTACCACGAGTCGTATCAAGATGAGTCTAAAATAGAGCTCATCTATTCCGGCGAGTTGGATGATGTATCCGACTCGAAGGCGACACCTCACGCCTCCAGGTCACCCGGGGAGGACGCTGCAAGAGCCAGGTTGACCGGCTCCTGTCAGCGCGGCAGTATCATGTCCGAGATCTTCGGATCGAGCGATTCTTCCGACGAATCGCCGCCTCACGCAAGTCCTTCCAACGATAGGACTCGTGGGGATGGTGGTGATACACCTATACATCACCACGAGCAAAGTAACTCGAGCGATCGAGGTGTCACTGGTGTCAGCGCTCACGCTGGCACCAATCAAGAGGCCAGGGACGGAAATGTTCTGCGCCACGCTCCTCAAGTGGAGTCTCCGTGGATGCCGTCATCCAGAGAGTTGGACCGGTTGGTCGGCATGACAACCGAACGGGATCGAATCCCGTTGTTTGATTGCAGGAGGATTTGCTCACCTGATTCCAGCATGGAAACTATCCGTGCGGAGGAATAATTCTTCACCGATGCGTTCTTCAAACACCGGCGGTACAATGGCAGCCGTGTTCGAGACGGCAAAGTCTTGGTGCAAGGATGGAATGCCCTCATCCATAACATCGAGTGCATTAGCCGTGAGGCCTGGCTCGCCAAACATGGTGCAGATTGCATCAGGTTTGAGAAACGCAACCCAGTTGGGGCGCGATACAAGTTGCACCGGCTTTTAAGAGAGGCGGAATTACCCTGTCTCTCGTGGGGTGATTCGTGTCCAGGTTGCCTGGACAACTCGAACCGTGCCCCTAGGGAGGCCTTCCTCCCTAATGATCCCTACTGGAGGGCGCGCATCTCTTCCGAGATGGCCGAAGGGATAGACACTTTGCAATCCCTGCACTCGCGTTCGGGGAGGTCGTTTTCCGACGGCCCTTCTTTGAACGCAGCGGGTGGGTCTCGTCGTACTGCTCGACTAGACCAAGGACATCAACAATCAGCTGGGCAAGAGGCTCCCAGCTGTCCCATGCCGGTGGATAGCCACGCTAGCGGACGAGGTAACTCGTCCGGACGCCATTCACATCGCGGTGGTTTAAAATACGCTCCACTAGGAAGCGTTGACCACCGCTTGAGTCCGCCAAAGGATGTGGTGGCGGCGGGAACATCTGATCCGGCTCGAGGGTCGGATCAGCTTGATGTTCAATAGCTGAACCGTGTAACGGAACAGTTGCAAGATGACCTGGCTTATGAACGATCTCGGCGTTATATGCTCCATGACCTTTAAAGGATACTTTTAATTCCCTAACGCACGATCGTTCGGACGATCGTGCTGCTTTTGCGTTCGAGCTACTTGAGAACGAACGTTCGACTCGTTCTTTTCGTGATGAGCTAGCTGCAGCTCGTCGAGATATCGCTGAGCTGCGTGAACAGGTCGCTTCGCTATCGACCAGACCGTTCGTTGAAACGGGACCACTCGAAGGTGGTCTCGGCTCTCGACCGTGGAGGTGTTCTTCGCATCTCGAAACGGGCTCGTACTGATAGTACTGGCGGATACAACCAACGTAAAACGTAGGATGCGAGCGCATCTTACGGGGCAGTTCAATCGTGTATACGTTGCCCATTCGGCGCAACACACGAAATGGACTGACATTCTTGGGCAGTAATTTACTGCTGCCCACGTTTGTCATTGCGTGTTTTGGTAGATTTACTGTTGACAGTAAAACTACGTCTCCTTCATCAAATTAAAGAACATTTGCTCTTCATTGTTTGTCTGCGCTTCATTTCTGTCTGTCTATTGCGTCTGCAATAAAATTTTGAGCGAAGCGGACAACCGCTTCGTGAGTCAGCAGAAATTCCTATTCTAACTCATCCTTGTTAGAAGCAGTGCTTCGTGTGCACTACTGAAAGAACGTTGTCTTCACCAGCAGCGCTTCGTATGCACTGCTGAAAGAACGTTGTCTTCACTAGTGAGGGTGTCATCGTCCTCACTGTGGCAGTCACTGGCGATGCTGAATATGCCAGCATCGTCGTCATCGTCATCAGTGACATCGATACCATCGACATCGGCATCCATCACGTCGACACCATTTTCGACGTGATGAGCAAGAACCAGATCGGTTTTTGTTCGAGCGAGTCCCCCCCCACTTAAACTAGAGTCAAACTTTAAGAAGGCGGGTAAACGTGGATGGTATAGGCCATTCACGAAGAACGGTGTATGCGTTGTCGACGCGTGCACCTAGTTGTCGATGGCGAATTCAGCCATCGGCAAGAACTCACTTTAACACTCAAACGAGTGGACGTACCCTCGAAGTATCTATTCGAAGACGCGGTTAACGCGTTCCGATGGACCATCTGTTTCGGAATGGTCAGAATTTGACATCGTCAAACGTGTTCCAAGTGAACGGAACACGGATTGCCAGAACTCCGCTGTGAAGCGGGGGTCCCTATTGGACACGAGTTCATGGGGTTACCCGTGAAGTCGTAAGACAGCATCGAGTAAGACAACGCGCACAGCCCTGTGTAGTAATTGACTCCGGTACCGCAACAAGATGTACCATCTTGCTGAACCGATCAACAAACACAAGAATACCAGTATTCGTGTGAACGTCTTTGGGAAACCCGAAGACGAAGTCCATCGATATGAACTGCCAACACTCTGCCGGAATCGGAAGAGGCTGCAAGGGTGCGCGGGATGAAGGACTAGGCTTCACCCGTTGACAAACTTCGCAAGCGCGAATGTATTTGCCCACAAACTCATACTGGCGGGGCCAGTAGAAGTCACGACTTACCGTGAGGTAAGTCTTTTTTCTATCGCGATGCCCACTGGTTGGGGCATCGTGACACATATACATGATGCGCAATCTCAAATCATCATGAGCGGGAACGACGACACGAGGTGTGTCGCCGTTGACTGCTGTATTGTTCAGCAGTCCATCACGAACCGAATACCGTTCGGTTGAAGAGCGGTATGGAAACGACAAGCTTTTCAAAGCTCGATTACACGGATTGGATACGTAATCCATCAATCGCAGAAGAGACTCATCTTCTGTGTATGCTTTTCACACGTCGTCGAGCAGATTCGACGACGGAACAATAACTGTTAGTGTTGCTACAGTGGGATCCCCCATACTGTTGTGCTGAGCAATCGGCTCGAAATCGGGCCGACGCGAAAGAGCATCAGCGACGACATTAAGTCGACCTAGTTTATACTCGACGGAGAAGTTGTACTCCGCAAAAAAAAACGTCACCTCGCCCTTTGTTGCGAGAGGTGTGGACTATTTATGGCCGTGCGTAAGGACGCATGGTCGGTATAAACGATGAAGGGCCTATCTCCTAAGAGATATACCCGAAACTTGGCCAGTGCATATTTCATGTCAAGGAGTTCCTTGTCATGCACCGAATAATTTCGCTCAGCTGCTTGTAGCTGACGCGATTGATAACAGACGACGCGCTCAACGCCGGCTGAGTCGTACTGCATTAACGCACAGCCGATTGCAAAATCGCTGGCGTCACAGACCACATGAAATGGTCTATCCTGATCTGCAATCGCCAACACAGACGATGGTATCGAGCTTTTCTTCATACCTTCGAAGAAGTGCTGACACTCAGCGCTCCATGACCACCTCTCGTTTTTCTTTAATAGACGAGAGTGATGTACAGTCATCTCGGCATAGTTGCGCGAGTATTTGTGCAAATACGCTACCAAGCTAAGGAACGTTCGAAGTCCCTTGACGTTGACTGGCGCAGGCCAGTCGCTAATCGCCTTGATCTTTTCCGGATCAGGGCGTACACCATTTTTACCCACGATGCAGCCAATGCGTGGTATTTGTTCGCTGCGAATATGCACTTCTTGAGGTTCACGAACAACTTATTCTCTCGCATTAGAGTAAGAACCTTCCGGACGTGGATTATATGAACCTCCACGTCCGTCTTTCCATCCATAGCCCGGCTATGGACGAAGACATCGTCGGAGTAACTTGGTGCGAAGTCGCGCACCAATCGCAAAAGATTCGTAACACATCTGTTAAATGTTGCAGGGGCGTGACTTAGCCCCTGTGGCATTACTAGCCACTCCCAGAGCATTCCACTGGGGGTGCTTACTGCTGTGTAGGGGATGTACCGTTCACGCATGAGGATCTGATAGAATCAATCCATCAAATCCATGGATGAAAAGATGGTACTTTTTGCCATACCATCTATGATAACATCCTTTCTTGGGATCAGTGCTTGAGCCGGTACCGTTGCAGCATTCAATTTGTTGAACGCGTGCACTATCCGCCACCCTCCTGTGGCCTTTCGCACACAGAAGGTCGGAGAGCTGTGTGTGGATGTTGATTCCCTCACATGACTAGCCGCGAAGCGATCGGCAAAGAATTTGTCGTCGCTGTGACCTGTTCACGAGGCAGTGGCCACTGCTTCATGACACAGTATTTCGAACCAGGTTTCAGTTCGATCTCATGCCGAGTACCTCTGTCTTTGGGCAGCTCGCATGGCACGGATTCCGGGAAAACATCCCTGAATTCGACCAAATCCTTATACAAAGGATTTCTCTTCAAAGACTCCCAAGATTGGGACGTGTATCGCTCATTCCGGGTCTTCTCATGGAGGAAACTCTCGTCCATCGATGAGCTACTGGGAACCCGTTCGTTCTCAGTAAACACTTGTGCCGAACGACCATCGGCGACGTACTCGTCCTCTGTGACGAGTACGCATATCTGCTTGACCGTGTCACTACGCAGATCTCACAAGATTTTTTTAGATTCTAGCGTTGGCAGCTTTACCACCTCCGAAGCTGACTTCGGGCGCGTAACCAGATCAAGTGTATAAGTGCCTACACTTGATCAGTCATTCACCAAGACATTCACTGACTCGGTGATTTCCTGGGAAAACACATACGCAGGTGGTTGGGAATCCACACCCTCACCATAAATCTCTCGGGAGTTATCGCTCTCAGAAACGCTGGATTTTTCTTCCATTACGTGAACTGACTGTGGGTGACTACCGCGGTCACGTCCTCTTTGATCGACTCTCTTTCAGTCGATCGGGTTTTCTACGATCGACTCTCTGGAAGTTGATCTCGCTTCAACGTGTTGTTCATCCTGAACAACACTAGTCTCTATTCTCGGATGCACCCTTCTTGGTGTGCATACGTGTTCGAGTCCACTCGATCTCTTCGAGTGGTTACCTTCGGCGCAGCCTGTGTCTCTACACAGGTGCCGGAAGCCGGTTCCACAGTGTAGTGGCCTTCTACACTGTGATCTTGAGCAATCGCACTAACGACCGTTCCACAAGTGAAGCCATCGCACTCACTCGTAGTACATCCACACGCTTGTGGACGCTCCAAGACGTTCATGAGATAGCCATCTGATGTGAAAACGGCAGGCATCATCACGGATCGATGCTTCCATCTGAACCATGGCTCGCATTATCTAAGCCATGGCAGACCGAGAGTGACATCGAATTTTTGTCATCCACATTTAGTACGATAAAGTCATCATCGAATTGTTTTCCTTCTATCGGGTAGTGAATTTCCAGTACACGTTTGTTCAATGCTGCGGGTGCGCCTGTAGCAAGGCACACCGTCATCCTCGTTGGAGGGAACTCTCGCTCAACATAGTTGAGGCTACTATCCCTTAGGGACTGGCGTCGAGTAAAACTGTTCGACGCCCACAGTCAACTAGGGTGCAAATTGATATTCCACTGGTCACTTTGATCTTCAAAGTAATGAGAGACTCCTCATCACGAGGGGCAGTAACACACAGCGACTGTGTGTTGGGTAAATCTTCGTCAAGATTCCTGCAAATTCTTTTGACGTTGCTGGATCAGCAGGGTGCTCCGCCCCTACTGACCGTTTTTTGGCTGTCCGACTTGCTGTCGCGGCTTGGTGACATGGTCGGACCCACGCCTCGGTCCCTTCCTTGGCCAACGGCGGTCATTACGTCCTGTCTCCGGACCTGATGTGGTGCTTGGGACACTACACTCATGAGCGTAGTGTCCAATCTTCTGGCAGCGATGTCATCTTGCCGTTTGCTTGTGACTCAGAGAGTGAGAGTTCTCGCTCTCGATGTAACAGAGGTCCATTGGTTCGGGACCTCCTGTTTTCTGTCGTCTCGTCGGACGATAGTTTGACGAGTTAGCCTGAGACTGTCTCAGGCTGAAATATTCTTGTTCTGCATACGCTATCGACCTTTCCAGCGTATGGAAGTCCTCTCGGAACATGTAGGTCTTCGCCGGCCCATCCACAAGGCCGTAGATGAACACGTTGATGAGCTTGTGCTTATCAACAGGGTTTTCCGTAACGCTACTCGCAAGGTAGCGCAGGTGCTGCGCGTAAGCGTGGACGTCACGCTTACCTTGCTTTAGCCTCAAGAGTGCAGAGCGTGCTATGAACTCGGCTTGTGGCGGCTCAAACGTCTCTTTGAGCCGAGACTTATATCTTTAAGATCTCCAACGACTCAAACACGTTTTGGTCGTGAAGCATGAGCCCTAAGGCCCAAGTCTTTGCTCGTCCCGTCAAATTTTACAGGGTGAAGGTGACTTGCATCTCGTCACCCTCGATGTGGCAGGCCTTGATGGCATCATCTAACTCGACGAACCATCTCAAAAGGGAATCTTCATCGGTTCCCTTGCACCTTGAGATATCTATCTTCAAGGTTTCGGGTCGACGCATGTGCGTCGGTCCTCCCATCGACCGATGAGAGCCTTGCTGGAGTGGCAAGGCTACCTTCTGTCTTTCGACGGCAAGTCACCCTTGCAGGAACTTGTTGATAGCAGTATGTTGCCAGTCTCTGCTTAGGACCACAACATGCCAGTGATGGCGAGTTCGCACATGAGCACACTCATGCGGTTGACTACCTCCCATTCTAAGTTACTCAGATAAGAGTAGCCTTCACGTGTGACGTGAAAGCTGTCGTCATCTACGTCTAACATGTTCATGTTGGACGGACACTAAGTAGTCGCTAGACGGACTACGAAGTGCTACCAGGTGGAACGGGGCACTCTTTGCCTGGGTGTCACGAAACTTCACGTACACTAGTACGCGCAGAGGAAGCTGATCTACTTAAACGACTCGTT